CTATTTAACTTGATCCTAAATGTTTTGACGGAACATATTCAAGGAAAAATTCCTAAATATATGCTCTTCACGAATGATATAGTTCTTATAGCACAGACAAGAGAAGAGGTTAATTGCAAACTTGAGTTATGAAGGAGGACATTGAAGTCAAAAAGTTTCCATCTGAGTAGGAGTAAGACAGAATATTTATATTGTAAATTTGGTAAGAGACTAGTCGATAAAAATTTGGAATTGAAATTGGGAGATAAAATTATACCTCAAGTGGAAAAGTTTAGATATTTGAGAGCCATTATTTAAAATGATGGCGAAATTAGTGGGGATATTTCACATATGATTCAAGCTGGGTGGTTCAATTAAAGAAAAGCTAAAGGAGTTATTTACGACCGTAAGGTACCTAATAAACTTAAAGGAAAGTTTTATCGTATTGCTATCAGACCGACCATGTTATATAGTAGTAAATGTTGGGCTCTAACGGGACAGCAAGAGCATAAAGTTGGAGTAACAGAGATGAGAATGTTATAATGAATGTGCGAACATACATGTAAAGATAAAATTTGAAATGAGTACGTACGTGAAAAAGTAAAGGTAGCATCTATTGAGGAAAAAATTGTAGAAAATTGGTTGAGATGGTTTGGGCATGTACAAAGAAGACTACAGGAGGCACCAATAAGAAGAGTGGAACATATAACTTTGAGCCCGATTAAAAGGAGTAGAGAAAGGCCTAAGAAAACACTTTTGAAAGTTGTTGAACACAATCTCTTAATTAATAATATGCCTAAAAGCTTGATAAATAATAGAGCACAATGGCATCTTACAATCCATGTAGCCGTAGTGGGATAAAAGCTTGTTATTATTGTCATTGATATGGGCAGAATTAGTTTTTTAGGAAGTATAGGGGCAAAATAGGAATTTTAAAAAGCTTAGGGGTAAAATGGAAATTTCAAAAAGTATAGGGGCCAAAGTATAATTTTGGAAAAATATGGGTCAAAATGGAACTTATGTAAAGTTACAGGGTCAAAGCATAATTTCTAGAAAGATTTGGGGGAAAAATAGAATTGCAAAAAGTTATGGTTGATGGGGCATGATGATGTGGCAAATTGGACACGTGGTAGAATATGGTTAGTCTGATCTGTCATTGACTAGAAAGGTGACATGGTAGATGACGTCAGCGTCTTCAACCTTCAGCAGGCACGTGTGGTTGGGGGATGTTGATGGCGTGTGGGCTTCCGATGGTGGCGTGTGACAATGTTTTTGACGATAAGGAACCTTCTCTTATTCCACATTTTTGGACCTCCTGAACACGATGATGATGTTAGTTTCTAGAAAGAAATGTTTAGATTGCAAGTGGTGAAGACATCAAAGACTCCTCCTCTGAATCTCTCTCTTCTCTAACGTAATCCCTCAACTTTATCTTACTCTCTTGCTCTTTAAACTAGCTCTGATACAAAAATGGTATAAAAATTGAATGAAAAAGAAACTCTAGTTTATTGCTTCAATCTCAGATGCTTTATGAAGACAATGAGGGTCCTATTTATACTGCTCTATGCCTTAAATTGAAAATAAGAAAATAAATGGCAGGTTACAAATGCATTTTATTTGTATTAATGGTGGTGTAGCAATTGACGTGAACGAACACGCATTTCTTCTCTTCCATTCACTGTTGTTGTTTCATTTCAATGGCTCACCTTTAGAGAGAAAAAAATACCAAAAAATTTATTTATTTTTCCATATCTTCAATCATAAAAAAGGATTAGGTTATATAAATGTATAATATATTTAGTGGGTATTATTGAAACTAATAAGAAAGGATGAAATAATCTTTGAGCCTTATATGGAGAGCATCCTTTAGAAGAAGACTACTCTTTAAATGGTATTTAGATTATTCAAATGACTAGTTTTATGACTGCTAGTTATAGGAATACCTTAAATCAGGGAAAAAAAAAATTCATAGCAGTGACAGATGAGAATTTATTTTTGTCTAAAAATTTAATAAGTTTTTAACTTTATGCTTATTAAATATACATCTTTTAATAACATTTTCTTTCACCATCATTTAATGGAGAGTAAAAAGAAAAAATTATGATATAAATTAATGTCATGTGTTAGGAATGAGAATCAATTGATCTGAATGATGGTAGAGGAGAAACAGGCAAAATTAGCATAAGGACGCCACAGCTTAACTTTAAACCTTAAGTCTCAAGTTTATGGGTCTTCCTCTTTATTTTATATTAATTATTAAACTTAACTTTATTCTATGTGAGACTTCCCACATTGGCTCAAATTTACTTACACTTGGACAACCTAACAACTTTTTCTTCACATGTGAGTCTACATGCTCCCCATATCAAAAACTCTCAAAATACCAAGTCTCTATTTTAGGGCCAGCCCAATTTATTTTGGGCTTTAAATGATGTAAAGTATGCAAGTTCTTGTATAATCGAGGTCAATCCCTCAAATGTGTGTGAAATAATGGGCTGATAGGTTATAGGGAAATTTGGTTCTAATATCATAATACAATTTTTGAAAATAGTAACTTATCTTATTAATTTTAATATGAGATATATTTATACAAGAAAAAAAGATCTATCAAAATCTAATAGAGAATAAATATCTATCAAAATCTATCAGAGAATAAAATAATAATAGAAAATAAAATTGTTATAAATAATAATAAAATTGTTATAACCACACTAAAAATGCAAAATACTATGTACAATAAAAAAGGAGTTTTTGTAGATATAGTCCATATTATAGGACTAAACTGAGCAAATAACCTAATATTTATTATATTTTACATTATGTTCAGTTTATTTAATGATATACTATTGTATATTAATCATAAACATATTGTAAATTTTTAAATTTTTAATAATAAATCCCTTTTATGTCAATGATAAAACTCTTATATATCAATGTGAATCAGTCATACTTTCAAATTTTAAAAAATTTGATTCATATTTTTTTAGTACAAGATTTTGGTTTTTTTTGTTTTTTGGCAAATGTTCCAATTTATCCAATTAAAAATGTAATATTGCCCTTTTTATAATGACTTATAAACATGATAAAAAAATATTTTTTTTTACTTTATAAATAAAAGATCGGAGAGCATGCACTTTTGTTTAATGACAATAAGGACAACCGCCGAATGCTTTTCATTCCAGCTGGAAGAAAAATAATGGCAATTGATCGATACATTATTAATTATCCTTTGCTGTCATAAGGCTCAAATGTTCAATCCTTGCTGACAACAAATATTCAATCCCGGATCACGTTTGACGAGAGAATGCACGAAGAAGTTGCGCTCTCTCCCTCTCATTCGCGCATTCTCTGCGCATCCCTCCGGGGCCCAGCTCTTCGGTTTTTTTCCCCCTCTTCCTACTATTTCTAATTTCGATTGATCCGAACTCCTGCTATATAAAATCCATGTAGAATTGTTATAACCAGCCTTATTAGTACCTTGAAGATATCTTTATCATGTTTTTTTAACACGACTGCATATTCACGATTTGAACTCAATATCGGAAGATAAATTGATTAAAATCCCTCAACTTAAAGTGGAAAATTTAACGTACATAATTTATATTGCCATTACCTCTTATCTCTACACCATATGTGCTAGAACCGATGTGCATATGGGTTTAAAACGAGCTGTTTTATACTATTGATAGGAGGAAGAGGACAATGCAATATAGAATTGTGGTAAAAGGCTTTTGACGACGTTAAGTAAGACTCTCATTCTTGGCATTGGATGGAAGGCTTCTTCATTTCATGGCTCATGTTCTATAGAGCATCCCTTACCTTGCATTATATTATAGGACCCCGTCTAGAATTTTGAAATACATTATTTTGGTTATATCAAATAGAACTTCATAGAAATATTGACTATACCAACCCAATTTGTAGCATATATACAGCTTGCTCTTAATTCTTATTCAGTGTTCAAATCGTGCATTGCAATTTAGGGTCATCTGAAACCCAAAATGAATGCGTTACAACATCAAATGCGTATGTGCTTGATGGTGAGATTTTCGTTCTCTTTGTAATTCCTGGACAGAGGGCTAGACGATTTCTTGATTAAATTTATGCCCCAAGAATTCGTTGACGCATTCAGAAAATGATCAAACACTACGGAAAAACGAACCGTGAGCCTCAAAGAAAAGTTAGAATTCTACAAAAGCGAATATAGGCATATATAATACATTGTGAGGTATAATTAACTGATGGCGAAGATCAAACACTGAAAAAAAAAAATGTTAATATAGCGACCACAATTAGATACGGATTAATTGTCATCTCTAAACAACATTTTTTTTTGTAGTTAAAGATATTGTGGCCCTTGACCTTGTAAAAAGGACGACATCACAGCTGGATGCAATGGAAAAATGCGATAAGAGTCCAATGTTAGGTGACAATTTTTTTGAAATGTATTTAAAAAGATTACGATGAATAATAAAAAATCCAACCATACACCAAAATGACCAGTGTGGAGTAGTTTCATTTTCAAACCATTGGGAAAAGTGGGCATGTGAGCACTGGAAGAAAATTCAAATAAATAATATATATATATATATATATAAATATTTGATCATACAAAATTTAATAATAAATTATCATATGCGAGCTTTATCCCTTTAATATAGTATATTTGGTGTGTTACCTCAAAATATTTTTTTTTAAAAATAAAGACAAACACCTTCTGCTTTTACAAGGAATAAAAATAATGTTCCATGTGACCGATACAAAATATTTTGTCCTAGATGATCATGGTTGACGAGAATGCATAAAGAAATTGCCACTATTGATCTGATTGAGTGGCTTTACACGCACGCGCACACATGAGTATAATATTGCTGACTGACAAATAATACCAAGGATTAGTTTCAAAGGTCTTTTAAAAAAACAATATTATTCTACCCATAAAAAGTTTTATAAATATTTATAAAGCCACAGTGGATTTATAGTTTCAAATGTTTGCCTTGTAAGGTAAAAAAAAAAAAAAAAACGCCAAGCAACTTCTGTATATTATTGGTACCCCTTCTTCTTCGTTCTTCTCAGGCATCAGATCTGATCATAGATCGCTATCTACTTCTACTCGCTCCTACCCTTCTTCTTGGTTCTTCTCAGGCATCAGATCTGATCATAGATCGCTATCTACTTCTACTTGCTTCTCTCATCTTCCGAGCCTGATGTAAGTGAAACTACTTGAGTAAGCAACTTTCTCTTTTTATTGATTTGCTGGTTTCAGGCTTTCTCTGTGATTCTCTGATATGGGTTTCTTTATTGCTTCTCTTTATACTTTGTTCGGAGAAATTAACAGCCAGAGTATATGATGGGGAAACCAGGAGCTGGTGGAAGGCCAAAGGCAATTGACAAGTGGGAACACGTTACCGTACTGGAAGGGAAAAGAGTAAAGTGCAAATATTGTGGATTTGAATTTGCAGCAAGTGCTAATCGCATCAAATCTCATATTCATCAAATCAAGGGTCAGGGTATTCGATTGTGTACGGCTTTTCCTCAGCTTAACAATAATAGTTCCAACAAAGTCACCCGTGATCTCCAAGAGAAAGAAGACCTGATTCATTCACAAGGTATCGAACAGCTGTAAATTTTTGTTTGAATATCAAAATTTTAATTTTAATTTTTTTATTTTTATTTGTTAATTTAAAAATTAAATCAACCAAATAATTTTTACCATGTTATTTTGTAATATCAATAATTTCAACTAAACAATTTTCAACAATTTCTACCACATGCTGACTGGTTGAAAAAGAGAAAACATTACTGGGACTAACCTAAATGGGTTAGTCTGAGCTTATTGTTTAACAAGCTTAAGTTTAAAACTCCTTTTATGCAAAAATCACTTTTTTTCAAGCTTGGTTATATATAAAAAAAAAATATAAGATTTAAACAGGTAATTTGAAGGCCTGGCTTGTTTTGACGGGCCTACTCATGCAATCTATGAAATCAAACCCAACGCTGGCAACTCAATAACAAAAAATATTGCCATAAAATGATTCTCAATTACGTGCGTGCATATATTTATATTATTATTTTTAAGAAAATAAGGACGACACCCATAAATTTTATTGAAAATTTTTCTCAACTCTCAAACGCCAACTTCGTTTTTGGGGAAAAAACAGAGAAAACCAGAAACCAAGACCACTATCCTATATATGGAACTAATTTGACACTAGCACAGAGACCTAGGTCTCAAGCTAGGCATATGAGACGCATAAGAACAAATAATATTAGTTGTCTGAAAAAAAGGCAAAGTTAAAAGAGAGAGAGAGAGAGAGAGAGAGAGAGAGAGAGAGAACTGTTCCTTTCTAATTCCCACCAGTTTTGTCTGTCATCAAAGTGTTACTTGGATTCACTCACCTTCAGGGAGGGGGGACTGTTTAAGCATATTTTAATAAGTAATTACCATTTTAAAATATTTAATTACTTTCTTAAAAAATGCTAAATATCCATCACTCTTTTAAAGATTTTGAATTAAACAACCATTGCTTACTGAAAATAGGCCTTAAATATATATATATATATATATATTTTAAATTTCCGCGGTGACTATAAGAGTATTTCAACATATCAAGCTTACGTTGATTGACATAATATGGGATTAAAAGGGCTTTTAACTTTGGATTTGGATTTGGTGAGAAGCTTAAGTCCACTTACTCAATGAGTGTCTCAATCACAGTTGTTGAATTTTGTTAATACTTAAAAATTATCAAAATATATCTCCCTAATTCCCTCTAAAAATCCAAAACAATCCTCATATCAGAGTACACCTTAAGTATGCTCTCTCTTCCAATAATTTGAGATTTGATACTTTCTAAATATTATATGAAAAAATTTATAACAGCCATTCCATTAAATACTTTCAAAATATTATCATGCTATATGAAACACTCATTGAGTGAGTGGATTTTGGCCACTCACCATATCCAAATCCTTCTACTTTCCCATTGTGGATATAGTGAAAATGAACATAACTAGTTTATTCAATCAATAAATTTTGTTATTTGTAATATTTCTCTACCTAAAGATCGCATGTTTTTGTATTGTGGATTGTGTTGATTAGTATTTTAATTCTAAATAAGATATAGGCATTTTTTATTATTTATTTGAGCGAGGAATGATTATATGAACCAAGCTAAGTGAGAGTTAATTTAATAGCCTAGTCACTATCAATTCATAGTTATACATCAAATTGAAGTGCTCATTATTGCGTTAAACATAAAACATGCAGGTTTATCAACATTGGATAGGCCAAGAGATTATAACAAACCCAATGAAACAATGCTTGATTGTTACATGTCCCCCAAAACAATGTGGGAAGGGATAAAGGCTCTCCAACAAACACAAATCCATCAAGAGAGGTTTCAAGTTGGCCCTTTCTCTGTGTCTCATACGATTAACGATCCTGACTTGCAGTTGATACAATATGTTTTTGAACAATCATGGTTAGATTTATGTGCATACTTCGAAATATATTACTAAACAGTATTTATAGGTATTTGCTTTTTAACCTTAAATCACTCATATTTTATTCAGTGAGATAATTTTCTCTTCACCACCACGTTTATATTTGAATCAATCTGAGTTTACCACACTTAGACCGCAAACTCATTTGGATTCTTCGGTGAGTATTTACTTCTATTTTTATTCTATTTTTGTCATAATTAAGCAAGGTCTTGGTTATGCTAAAGTGCTCAATTTTCCTATCTTCTTAGGTAATAGATATTTTTGTTGATATTTTGACTGACGCTGAAAGGAAGAAAAGTAAACCTTTGAATTGGTATCTTCCGTTGACATTTTCGGTGATATCTTATTCCCTTTCTAATTGGATGATGTATGTTAGTTCTGCAATCTAAAAAATAATTATTGGCAAGTATTTTTAATGGTTCTTTTGTTGTAGAATGTAGCACTTAATGGTGACGATGCAAGTTCCTTCCTTAACTTTGTTGAGCGACATAAAATGAGAAAGCATTACATGCCTGACTCGATATTTTGTGAGAAGGTATTATCTTTTGTCTGGGTAGTTTTTGTTGATGTTTCATTTAGCATTATGATTTCTCATTTTGACTTTATCAATATGATTTGTTTGATCACACATTACAGATATTTATTCCAGTTTACATTGGAAAAAGTTCACTTGGACATTTTTATTTATACATCATTAATATGAGGAATCAAGAGGTTGAAATATGGGATTCTCTGTGTGATCAATTTATGAATAAAACTGAACGTGATCAAATAACACAAAAGTTGGTAAGTGTTACAAAGTTGTGATTTTTATATAATTAGTAGATTAATACATTGATATTTTAATTCATCACTAGAATTAATCTTTTATGTGTAGTTGCTTGCCATGGAGAAACTCTTCAAAGATGTTATCATGTTCACAAAATTTCCCTGCAGGGGAATAGCAAGAAATATCGCACTACAGCCTAATGGGTGAGTTTATAATTTTCTTTTATTTCAAGTTATAAGCTTTAGTAAAACAAGCAAGCATGCTGACCATATCATATTTTTTCAATATGTAGATATGATTGTGGTATATTTGTTATTAGATATATGCAACAATTAGATAATTATGTGAGGCAAAATCCTTCATTTCAGGTATGGTCGCCTACCAGTTATTGTTAAATGCTCTATACATATTCATTGACACATACACATGCATATGCACATAGATGTACAAACACTCTCATTCATATAAATGATGCGGACAAAATGTGTAGTTTGATAGTGATGAAGAAAGATTGGATTTGGCTTTAGAGTTGCTCAAGAGTGACTTAAACCAAGAAAAAGAAACACTACATGATAAAGCAGCAGGAAGCTATGCACAAGTTCAAAGTGAAGAAGATATAGATTCATGTGGAATTAAAAAAAAGTGGGTTGATACATGGAAAACAATATCTGAAGATGTTGGAAGAGGGGCACATATGGAATTGGATGATTCTGATAATAGAGTCAAGAGAAACAATGTTAGCTTGGAAACAGGTACATATATATACACACTTCAACTTAAATTATATACAGCCCCTTTTTTGTAGTCTTTTATACAACAATTTAATTTATATATTCTAATTTCTCTTAAAGTAAGTTATAGCTATCATCATATCATACTTAATGATTATCACTTTGTTTTTAAGGCATGGTGAAGGATATATAAATGTAATATATTCAATTTATTTTTGTATTTTTTCTTTCTCACTTGTATTTGAAAGAAATAATTCCCATAGTCACCTCATGTTAATTGATTATTCCTATTTTTATTGGTAGGCTGTGTTAAGGATTATGTATTGTCAACAACTAAGCTAGCGAGAAAGAAGTTTCAAAGTTATACTGAACAAATATGAAAATGAATAATGAGTTGCATGTGTGGCAATTGGGATATGGGGAACGGGAGGGGCAGGGAAAACAACTTTAGCAACTCATGTGCACGACAAGCTTTTAGAAGTGCCCAGTGATGACTTTGGCCATATTATTTGGGTTGCCGTATCACAATATGATAGCATTTGTGAGTTACAAAAGGTCATTACAAGATCAATTAATTTAGACATGTGTGATGTGAAAAGAGTATCCTCCGGTACAAATATTTTTTTTAGCACTTACTTTTAGCAGCTGGTAGAGGATAAGATGTGTCAAAGATATGTGCGGTGGCATTTTTTTGAATGAATTATTATTGTATTGACCTTCGGAACTTATTACCTAAACAATAGGTGCCAAATTAAAATTCATTAATTTTATTTTTTATTTTAACTTTCAAACTATCTAAACATATTAAAATAAAAAAAGACTAATATTGCAATATTTAATTAAGTTATATCGACTCATAATTTTAGAAGTACATACGTATCAAAACTTTTTTTTTAAATTAAAAATAATATTTTGATATTCCTATTATAATACACATAATATTTCTATACTCTACAAATACCTGTCAAAGAAGTATCGGTGAGTTTTGGTATTGGATACAATACGAATAAGAAGTGGCAATTTGAAGTATCTATTTTTCACCCGGCCGCTCTCTCATATTTCTTTGAAGCTAATCCCGGCCTCCTCCTCCTCGATCTTCCGCGCCTGGCGCTATCGTTTCCTCCACGTGTACACCATAATCTCCTTTACTTCATTATTGTTTATGAACTCACAAACCTTACTGTTCCATCTTTGTCGCTGTTGATTCTATTTCCAGGGATGCATGGGAGACATACAGAGCTGTGTGTTATGAATTGTGCTCTGACCCATGTCGTGGCCTGTGGTTCCAGAGAAATTTCTGGCGGCAGCGAGGGTTGGGTCTCTTTTACATTAAATTCATCATTGGATTCAACCAAGCTGTCTTGGGGTTCTTCGTCTTACATCGCTGTTGATTCTATTTCCAGATATGTATGGGAGACATGCAGATCTGAGTGCTATGGTTTGTGCTCTGAGCCATATCGTGACCGGTGGTTCCAGAGAAATTTCTGGCGGCAGCGAGGGTTGGGGCTCTTCTTCATTAAATTCATCATTGGATTCAACCAATCTGTCTTGGGGTTCTTCGTCTTACGGTGGTAACTCTTCTTTGAAGAGAAGTAGGGAAGATTATATTAGAGGCTCTTCCCCTGCTTATCATTCAAACAGGTTGGTACTATTCAATATTAATTCAATTCTAACAATTCTGTCCCTTTATTTTAACTCTGAAAATTCTGATTTTATTGGATCATTTCAGTTTTTCCCCCCTAAATGGTAGGTTGAAACCTCCGTGCTTGTTTTTATGCTTAGAAATTGAAAAATCATAGTTTGCTTGAGAAGTGTTTACAACAATTGTCAGCAGATGCTTATAAGTTAAAGAGTTTTTATGCAGAATTCATCTTTAGCTTGAAAATTCCTAGACACTCATCCGATGCTTTTTCTTGTCTCTAGTAACAAGAAAATCTTGGAACCAAGATAATTGCATGTTTCTGTCATTTCTAAGAATTCTGTAGTATCCTCGAGACGAAAATAAAAACTTTTTCCCCCTCAAATGTCTGACAGTAACATTTTGGTTGGACTTGTGGGTATACGAATCTGGTTTTTAAATTCTCAAAGTGAATAAAGAGGGCTTTGAAGGCTTTCTATGTGTAGTAATTTGCATTTTGCACCCTCGACCTCAACTTTCATCATTATTAAAGACGTTGGCATTTATTCTGCCCGTTTACCTTTATTGCTATGGAGTATATGTATTTTATCAAGAACATTCGTTATGTTATTAAATATTTTGATCATTTTTCACATTAGATATTGATTATTTGTTACCTGTTCATATATTTTACCTAATTTCTGGGCATAGCATAGTTCCATCTTTTTTCTTAGTTTATTGACAATCATTTTTTCCAAAGAAGGAACTTTCTCCATACTGATTATTGTTGTAGCAGTAGAACTAATGTGAAGTGTGCAAGGATTGACTCGATGGCTATATGTTCAAAGAGATTAAATTTATGTTTTGTTTTTATTCCTTCTTCATTCTCAAGTATTGCCAGCTGAGATATCAGAACCTCAACGAAAAGGGTGATCTTTTAGCTGAGCTGAAAAGGGTATATTTCTGTATTCTTAGTTTATCACTTTATTGAGTACTTTATTTTTTTGGTTTTTGTTTTTTTTCTTGTTTTGTTTCTCGTTTTCTTTTTAGGAATGGGCCCTAATAACCATATTATGCAGGATGTCTTACAATCGTGTCATTTGACGCTAGTGTCATGTACATGTAGTAGCTATTCGTTTTCTTTCCTTTTATGATGAACCTAGCTATATCTTTGATTCTTTTGAGATCACACACACACAGTACTTCTTTTTTTTTTTCATTTGTATTATATTATGTGCATCTATAGTAATAGTTCTTCCATGATCATAAATTTTAGATATGAATATTTTAATTAAATTGGTTATGATGGATTTTTGAAGCACTTATCTGTATTTTCAAATGATTTTTATTGCATGGGATATGGCCAACCTGCTTTTGACATTGGTGTCTTTAATGCTTGTTGTCTTATTTTTCCATTATTAGTGGCAATATTGGAATTCTCGGTTCAGTTCTCAGTATGTTGGTTCTCTCATCTTTTTAATACTCCTAATCTTTTTGATTTTTGTGCAGTTATTAAATATTCATTTTATGAGATATTTGACCTGTTATGCAAATTTAAGGACGTATTTGTTTCTAAAACAGTAGCCTTTTTATAGCCATCGAATTTTTATTTCAAAGCTGCACGAGATATGGAATCCTTTAACTTCCTGTGATCTAGGATGAGTTTATTATGACTTTTCCTTTTGGTATATTGTTTTCAATACATCTTGTTTACTTCGGTTGGCCCTCAACCGTTTTCCTTTAATTGTACTATTGCTCACCATATTAGTGGCCCTCCATCTACTGGTCAATGACTTCAAAAATTCATGATTTGCATTTCTTTCCCTTCTTTGGACCCTTTTTTGGGCTGGCAATTTCTCTAGTATATTTCATTAAATGTCTTTGTGCTAATGTACTTTCATGCCCTTGTTGGATGTTGACTCGTCAATATGATGTTCTCATATTATCATTGATGACTTTTGTGATTGCAGTTACTTCTCTTCCGACACATGCCAATGAGCATTCAGCTCGAACTGCTAGGCTGGTGGTTGGTTTATTTTCTGACCTGGCGTCAACAATTGTTTTTAGACGCGCTAGAAGTGATTTTCTGTCATATATATGAATTTTTTGAACTGATCATATCAGAACAAATTTTTGTATATTGAGGCCGCCTCGATTTGCAATGTAACACATGTGCACTTTGTATAACATAAATTCTATTCCCTATTTCTAAATTTTCTGCCTCGTTAAAAAGTTTAATAACTTAACTGTTCTGCTAGTTGGCTTAAAGCATGATTCCGAATACTTTTTTCAACGCAAGAACTATTATATATATTATTGGGCAAATGGTTATTTGGTCTAGATTACAACCTTGCTTATAGGCTTTATTTAAAACTCTTTATTGTTAACTGTCTTTTTCATTTATTTATGAGGAGGTGTTTTGGATTGTGGGTGATTCCAGAAATGCCTTTTTTTTTTTTTTAATATCGCTTTTGGCATTGGTTGTGCCTAAACGTGATCCCAAATTTGCCCCCATATTTTTTTTTAATGTCACTTTTGGCACCTATTGTGATTACAACTGGTGCCAAAAAGTGACATCCTGCCGCAATTGAATAACCAGAATTGGCATCGTTTCCAAAATAGGTGCCCAAAGTTAGTTTTAAACCAGTGCTGAAAGTGTTTTTCATTGTAGTGATCCAGGAAATTTCCAAGCATTCAAGCATATAAAAATAGACGTGGCTTTATTTTAGACAATGTTGGGATCCTATTTGTTTAGAAGACGTTGGATTTCTGTGTTTGAATAATGGAATTAAATTTATTTTGATAACCCATTCCTTAAAAATTTGCCAAACCATGAACTGCATGAAGAGCATAATAGAAATACATCTACATCACTATTGTAGTAAAGATCTTTAACATCAGTTAAAAAACCATTTTACAATGATTAAGAAAGTAGTAGTTTTTGCTCTGGGAGATGTACAAAGCCGTTGACTATTGTAGTAAATGTCTTCTATAAATAGCGGTTGAAAAACCAATGTAGAAAGATGCTGTAACATTTTAGTAATTAAAAAGTACATATCACGTTCTATAACAATTGGTGAACATAATCGTGTTGAAGGTGGCCCCTCTCTATAGCATGTGATCATAACCAATGCTGAAAGATACTTTCCACAGCGATTATGGTCACAAACACCGAAGAAAATGACATATTTTACAATGATTATGGTCATAACCGTTTTAGAGAATATTATTTTTTTAATATACATTTATCTCTATATATTTCCCTATCCTATAACACAAAAAATAATCTCAGGCATCCAGCAGATCATAGTTCGATTACATAATAACAATCAAACTCAATCTCAATTCAATAAAAATTACATAAAACTATGAAATGCCTATACAACTTCCTAAACTACCTAAACCTCATATACCATTCATAAATATTGTGCCCATTGTAATACCCCATATAATTAATTAAGAATGAAACAAATAAGAGAAATATCAAAAAATGTCTGTATATTACTAAGTTGAAGAGTACATTATACACCAATAAATCAACAACCCATAATGACTAATAATGACTAATAATATCAATAATATCTCCTAATAATGACAAATACGCACACACACACACACAATAATGATAGAATGTTTGGAGAACATTCAAGATAATATTTCCCCTCAAGCTCAAGATGTTTAATAGAGAGCAACTTGAATTTGTCTACTAGAAAATGAAAGCGGCTTGGATGAAAGGACTTTGTAAACAAATCTACCGGCTGATGCTTGGTTCGAATTAGAACAAGTTGAATGGTGCCTGAACAACGGCTGTTTGAGTAAGTGACAGTCAATCTCATATGTTTGGTCCCACTCATGAAACACATCATTATAAGCAATCTTGATCGCACCTTGACTGTCATAATAGAATGTCTGTGAAGGAGCTTTAAGATGCCTCTAGCTCTTAAGTAACCAACGGAGCTAAAGCACTCAATAGTAATGTTTGCTAGTGCACGATATTTTGATTCAGCACTGGAGTGAGAGGCTAATATCTACTTATTACTTTTCTAAGATATAAGGGAATGACTAAGGAAGATATAAAAAACCAGTCGTAGATCATTGATCATCATGATCACTGCCCTAATCAGCATCAAAGTAAGCTCACAATGCAAGAGAGGAGCTAGTACAAAAGTGAAGTCCATGATATAGAGTGTCTTTGATATACCGAATGATTCAAAAAACTACTACATAATGATAGTTTATAGCTCTGACATAAATGGGTTGACGATATGGACTACACAACTACGTCAGGGCGAGTCACGATAAGATAGATGAAGCCGCTAACCTTCTGGCAGGAACTTGTGGGATTTATCCAACAAGGTGCCATTAGTGGAAGTATAATGAGCATTTGGCTCAATAGAGTATTTTCAAACTCCTCATCAAAAAGATGAGCTTAGGATATCAAATTAGTGGCATACTTAACCTGAGAAAGAGATATACCAGCTCTCCCATGTAGACCTCAAGCTCAAGAAGTAATTCAGTCTATCAACATCCTTCAGTTTGAAATTGTTGGCTTAATATGTCTTCTTGAGCTCTTGGACTCCCCATATCATCACTACCTGTGATATAATGTTATCAACATATAAAAACAATAGAACAATGCCATGAAGCAGTTGATCGAACAAAAAAGAGCCTAGTTGTAAGGACCATAAGTGAAGCCTAATTAACTCATAGTGTTGACTGAATTTGGCAAACCATGCATCGGGAGCTGCTTGAGTCCATAAAGAGCGACAAAGTCGACAAACCTTGTCTTTCAAATGTTGATACTTGTGTGGAGGCTTCATATCCACTTCTATCATCTAGATCTCCATTCAAAAAGGCATTTTTAACATCCATATGATGAAAGGACTAGTACTTAACAGTAGTAATAGCTAGAAGGCTATGAACAAAAGTCATGTGTGCAACTGGTGCAAAACTCTCCTCATAATCAACACCGTATGTAAACTTTTGGGCCACTAAGTGGGCCTTTCATTACTTCAAAGAACCATCAGGATGAGTCTTGTTTTTATACCCTATCAACAACTAACTAAAGTTTACTAGAGGGAAGATCAACAAGATCCCAAGTGTGCATTTTTTTTAAAGCCTGTAATTTTTCATTCATAGCTTGCTATCATAAGAGATCACAAAGGCTTCCTTAAAAGATTTGGGTTCCTATAATTAGAGAATGGTGGGAAAAGAATGGTAATCACTAAGGTAGAAGGGCGGTTTCTTACACATGGGGTCAAGTATCATCGAACGATACAAGCTCAAGAGACGTGACTTATATTGGCATGAAACCAAGAAAATTAGGAGTAGGCATGGTATCAATCGTGTGCTTTACAGGGGAATATGCATAGTCACTAGGAAATAGATCAACTAAAATATTTATGAAAATAAAAGGTGAAGGAGGAGAAATAGAGGAGAAATCAGTTAACGATGAAAATAGCATATGTTCCTAAAAAACAATATGATGAGAGATTTGAATGCAAAGAGATTTGGGATCCCAGCATGATAACCTCGATGCTTAGGGTCATAACTAAGGAAACAATGACACGGGTATAAGCTTGCAATTTAGTAGTTTCATATAGAGGGAGAAGAAACAAAATAGATATAAGCAAAAACTTCAAAAGACTAGTCAGGAGGAATACTATGAAGGCGCTCGAAAGGAGAAATATTACTAAGAATTAAGGTAGGAACTCTATTTTACAATAGACAGCGATTAAGGTGGCTTCCCCTTAAAAACATTTAGGACAAGAAGAAGAATGAGGAAGGCTCTAATTGAATCAGAATATGACGGCATTTCTGTTCAGCTTGACCATTTGTTGAGAGGAGTAGGGACAGCAGCATTGGGAGATTATACCCTGAGCATTAAGTAATTTAAGCAGTTTAGAATCATGGTATTCTAAACATTATCACAACGAAAACTTTTATAACTTTAGAGAATTGAGTGCGAACTATCGTAGCAATTTATGTAGATATCAAGGAACTCAGATCAATTTTTCATCATGTAAATCCAAGTATAATGAGAGGAAATCATCAACAAAAATCACAAAATATTATGAGGCCTCCCTAGAAGGCATAGGTCCTAGGTCTCAAATATCAAAATGAATTAAATTAAAAGACTCATTAGTAATAGAGTCATTTTTATTAAGGATAAGGCAGGCTGTTTAGCAATTTGGAAGAAATACAATGTAAAACTGAACATCAACTTGACCTAAAAGACCACTAGAAAGTAAAGGATGTAAAGTAGCTAAAGACGAATGATTGAGACAATGATGCCATAAATCAAGGGAAGCAGAGTAGAGGTAGCACACAATCTAGGAGAAGTGACTTCAGGGAGATGCAAGGAATTGAGCTCAAACATTTGACTAACATTACGTCTAGTGCCGATAACCTATCCTGCTGAGAATAAAAAACAATACAACCACATTTGTTAAATAAAACATCATAGCCTATATCAACTAATTAGTCGATAGATAATTAATAAAGGTGGATACTAAATAAGTATCATGAATGGACAAGGGCAAAGAAATAATACCAAATGACTAATAGGCAGGTTGGGAGTTTATAAATATATATAAGGTGAGCAATTTTATTAGGAGACAAGAGGAGAAGAAGTGTTCCTGACTAGCCATATGATTACAACAGGTAGAGTTAAAACCTAGAAGAGGTACTTGAAGGTGTGGCTAAGTCAGTAGGTGGGTTGGAATAACTTGAGATAATCTTGCAAAGAAAGACTTAAGTTCAACAGTAGTAGAGGATCTTAAAGTGGAAGTAGCAACAATAGGTGGCTTATCAATAACTGACAGAGCAGGCTTAGATGTCGAGGAACCAGACTTGAATGACCTCCCTTATTAATTTAGGAGGATGGGTAGGACACTGATCATAAGATGCCCAGGCTTCTTACAATAACAACAAGTCCAAAGAAGGATAGTTCGCAACAATATGTCCCTTCTTTTGGCAAATTTTGCACTCAATATATGGACATTGATCAAAAGTATGAATAGATTGAGGGAAGTGTTGACAAACTTTAAAATTCCTTTTGGGAGTAGTAAAAAGCCATGTCAAGGGCTCATTGGAGAAGACCCACGAGTTTCCTTAAAATGGAGACGAGGAAGAGCCATCTTCAAGAGTTAGAAGTGGACTTTGGTAGTAGAGAGGCAAGAGCAAGTTCAAAATCATTAGTAAGAGTCATCAA